AATGAGTGGGGCCTAGTCCATCGTGCAGAGTAGCCAAGATAGTCTAAAATGTGCAGTGCGAGCATGTTTCTCAGTTGGATACACAATGTTTGCGAAAGAAGAAAAGTTGTGATCCCGAAAGCATTCAAAAGAATTCTTGGTTCAGTTCACAAAAATGTGGGTTAACTCTTTCAATCCATCAAGTCTTTAATGTAGTCCTCAAATGCATTCGTTTATGACTAGTCCATTGCTCGACTTCTTCTGAAACGTCCTCCATCGAGCAGTCCTCGTTTATTAGAAGAAGCCAAATAGTTTAAATTTAGTACAGGGTAAAACAAACTGGACTTGTTCTCTACTTATTTGCCGTCACGAAGAGATATGACCTTACCATGGTGTGACGGTTTGCGTACCTGGGCGACCCGTGAGCTCACTGGGGGTTGTCCGCGCGACACTCATAGGGTCTCTTAGGGTCTTCTTAGCCACCTTCAATGTTCGCACACTCAACAGGTGGCTCTTGCCCGTACGCTGGAGTCCCTCTGCATTGATGTGTGTTGTCTGTCAGAAACAAGGACGCCGGACGCAAGTATTGTGATTGAACTGATCGCCCCCTCGCTCTCTTCCAGGTTCCGGCTGTACACCTCTGGTGATGCAGAGGCCGCTGGGAGATGCTGGGAAACGTCTCTGCTTTATTGGATACCCGTTGATAGTCGCCTCTGTGCCTTTCGTTTGGCAACATCTGTGAAAGAATCTAAAGGCAGTGAGGTTCATTCCACCTTGTTTATTTTGTCTGCTTGCTTCCCCAACTGACTGTAGCTCTGAATCTGTCAAGGACAGTTTCTGTGACGCTCTAGATGCCCTTCTACAGTAGGCTAAGAGGTTAAATATCGTTGTGGTTGTGATATGAACGCCCAGGTGGGTAGACTAAGTGCTACTGAAGCTCGAATGGGTGGTCGTCTTTGTTTGGGCACGAGACACACGGGCAACGAAGACCGCTTACTTCAGATGTGTGCCGACACCGACTGTTCCTGTGCATTGCAAATATCCGGAACAGCGGGGACAGCTTGAAAAAATGGCTCCCTCCAACAAACCAGCGCCGAATCCAAACAGACCACATCGCCGTCAGTTGTCAGTTGCGAGGGTTGATCACCGCCTGCCGCTCCTAGAACACTAGCGTTGACTCCGACCATGCACTTGTACGCTGCTGCTTTTCATTGCACTTTCCAAGTGTGCGCTAAACGCGCACACCGCTCTTCGTCATTGAGAAGCTAGTGGACCCAGAAGTCAAACGAAACTATCAGAACCAGCTCCTTGAACGCCTGCCGAACGGTACGGTGTTGGATGTAAACGATCACTGGAATGTCTGTTTGCGGTACAACCCAGCCAACCCGATCCAAGCATTAGATCTCTGATAGGATCGTATCTTTGCTGGAGACCCGGCGATAGATTCCACCTGGTCTCCAACACAACTCCGCCAGGCGCATCACCCGACGCCAGGTGAAAGTGGGTGTCCGCACAGACGGAGAAGCTTGGTGGACCCGNATCAGCGGTTTTTTTATTTTTCTGACTACTCACAAGTAGTGTGATTTACTGTTTTCACGCTGTTTCTCTTCCCCGGGTTTGCTTCCGTTTGCCGTCTCCTCACATCCGATGGTTTTGCTTCCAGATTTACGTCAAACATAACTACATTCGAGTGTCTGCCCAGACGGAGAGGTATGTTGACCTGAAATCAAACCCCGAACCCCCTCCTTTCGGATGGGCGGGAGAAGGCACTTCTCTGCTGAGTCATTTTTAGCCAAACCAAATATGCAGTTTCGGGATATTAGACAGAAAAGTAATTATCCCATATGCACATATTTTTCAAAAACTGAACGTTCTCACGTGTCTTTTAAATCTGGATATTCATGGACTGCTAAACAGTAGTAAGCAAAAATTTCCGTAATAGACTTCATCTTCCATCAGATGCTTGGTAGAGCTTGGACACGGAATCATTTACTACTCACATGGTTAATCAGTAATTTCCATCGTTACATCGATGGTTTTTGTAGAGTTGTTGTTTTAAATGGGGCCTAAGTGCGTATTCCGATTTGACACCTGGCACGGGCCTCGTCGTCACGGTGTCAGCTGCAGGCATATCTTATTTCAGATAAATTCATTAGATACCCGTTTATCAGATGGTTCCGGATACCTCCCGAACGTATTGACTGTTTCCTCTGCTGTTATCTTTGTGCATGGCCCATTCACACTCCTCGACTACCCGTGTCCGTATGTCTTCCTTTCACTTGGTAATTACTCGCTATTGCTTCAAGAAATTCCTACTGTCCACTGTCATTTTTCCTACTCTTACCGACTGAACTACTATTGATTGTACGTTCTGTTTAATTCCTGACACCTATCAAGCTATTTATTCACGCAACCAGTTCTCAATACAGCATCTACTGCCCTTGACTGTCTGTTCTTACCGTCTTTTGAGTATGAACTGCGTAGAGTCTAATAACCTCAACCCCCGCGGATTTTACAGCTGTCCGATCTTACGCTGTCGAATCTCACCAGAGGACTTATGGGGGAGACTGCCGGTGACTTTCAGTAGGCTTTTCAATATAGGTTAGCTTCAATTTCTGGACGAAATGAAGGCTATAATTTGAAGTGATGGCGATTAATCATTTGCCCCACCACAGTTTGATGTACTATATTTTGGCTATTAAAATTCGTAAAACGTAAAGACGAACGTGCGCTGCCACTTCTAGACTCATCAGCTGCGGAATTCTGGTTCTGTTGAACCAGAAGCTAAAGAGACCGGGAATGAGGACACAGGTGCAAATCCGGTGTCTTTCTCTTCTCTATGAGGAATCCTTAAGAAGCTATATGACAACGGATGGATAAGTTTTGGAATGAAATTCTCTCCATCCCTGAAGATGAGAAGTCAAATCAACAAAGAGGAATTTTTTTAGTTTTACAACTGAACCGATTGTTCTTCATTTACTAGCATGTATTCGTTAATTGGATGTCAAGAGAAATGGCGATTCTGTTTTGTTACCATTACAACCTCACCTGTTTTGACCAAATATTCAGCCAAATTAGAGGCTTAAAATACGCTAGACCTGTATTCTCATTTGTATTCAAGCACGTGGGAGATAGGTAAGTGTCTGCGCTTATAAATAAACTCTGTTCTTCTAGTTGTGTATGAAATCATCTTCATGAGAATTTATTCTGTGGTTACATTTGTTGACAGGTATACTTTTGTAATACTGAAATCGGATTGAAATTGGATATTGATCTTTTTTACGTTTCATCATGTTACTCTGTGTCTCAGTCACATAAATTCATGATGACTATTCACCTGGACTTTGAACAATGCTACTTCTCGGCTTCACGCTGATACAATGAACTTGCAACATGAGGACTAACAATTGAGATTTGTTACTGTTTTTTTAGCTTGTAGCTTAGCTGCAGAATAAGACGGATACTGACATTAACCACATGCCTATAAACTATTGAGTTGAACATACCTACGACTGACGAAGTGTTAGCTATTCACGGAAATGAGTGGGGCGTAGTCCATCGCGCAGAGTAGCCAAGATAGTCTAAAATGTGCAGTGCGAGCATGTTTCTCAGTTGGATACACAATGTTTGCGAAAGAAGAAAAGTTGTGATCCCGAAAGCATTCAAAAGAATTCTTGGTTCAGTTCACAAAAATGTGGGTTAACTCTTTCAATCCATCAAGTCTTTAATGTAGTCCTCAAATGCATTCGTTTATGACTAGTCCATTGCTCGACTTCTTCTGAAACGTCCTCCATCGAGCAGTCCTCGTTTATTAGAAGAAGCCAAATAGTTTAAATTTAGTACAGGGTAAAACAAACTGGACTTGTTCTCTACTTATTTGCCGTCACGAAGAGATATGACCTTACCATGGTGTGACGGTTTGCGTACCTGGGCGACCCGTGAGCTCACTGGGGGTTGTCCGCGCGACACTCATAGGGTCTCTTAGGGTCTTCTTAGCCACCTTCAATGTTCGCACACTCAACAGGTGGCTCTTGCCCGTACGCTGGAGTCCCTCTGCATTGATGTGTGTTGTCTGTCAGAAACAAGGACGCCGGACGCAAGTATTGTGATTGAACTGATCGCCCCCTCGCTCTCTTCCAGGTTCCGGCTGTACACCTCTGGTGATGCAGAGGCCGCTGCAGCTGGATATGCTGGGGAAACGTCTCTGCTTGATTGGATACCCGTTGATAGTCGCCTCTGTGCCTTTCGTTTGGCAACATCTGTGAAAGAATCTAAAGGCAGTGAGGTTCATTCCACCTTGTTTATTTTGTCTGCTTGCTTCCCCAACTGACTGTAGCTCTGAATCTGTCAAGGACAGTTTCTGTGACGCTCTAGATGCCCTTCTACAGTAGGCTAAGAGGTTAAATATCGTTGTGGTTGTGATATGAACGCCCAGGTGGGTAGACTAAGTGCTACTGAAGCTCGAATGGGTGGTCGTCTTTGTTTGGGCACGAGACACACGGGCAACGAAGACCGCTTACTTCAGATGTGTGCCGACACCGACTGTTCCTGTGCATTGCAAATATCCGGAACAGCGGGGACAGCTTGAAAAAATGGCTCCCTCCAACAAACCAGCGCCGAATCCAAACAGACCACATCGCCGTCAGTTGTCAGTTGCGAGGGTTGATCACCGCCTGCCGCTCCTAGAACACTAGCGTTGACTCCGACCATGCACTTGTACGCTGCTGCTTTTCATTGCACTTTCCAAGTGTGCGCTAAACGCGCACACCGCTCTTCGTCATTGAGAAGCTAGTGGACCCAGAAGTCAAACGAAACTATCAGAACCAGCTCCTTGAACGCCTGCCGAACGGTACGGTGTTGGATGTAAACGATCACTGGAATGTCTGTTTGCGGTACAACCCAGCCAACCCGATCCAAGCATTAGATCTCTGATAGGATCGTATCTTTGCTGGAGACCCGGCGATAGATTCCACCTGGTCTCCAACACAACTCCGCCAGGCGCATCACCCGACGCCAGGTGAAAGTGGGTGTCCGCACAGACGGAGAAGCTTGGTGGACCCGAAAGTTTGAAGAAATAGAAGATGCAAAGAATACTGGAAACGTGCGCAAGCTTTTCCACTTGATTCGTCCGACTGGTCCTCGGAAACCCCTTGTCAGAGAACTGATCGGGCAGCATTTCAGCTGGCAACCTGCTACCCCCAATCCAGAAACCTGGCCTTTCACAGAAAGGTGGACCGTAAACATGGAGCCACCTTCAGTCTCAAATGTGTCCAAATGTATTTCGCCACTCAAGCGTCACCATGCTGCTGGTCCTGACAACCTTCTACCTGCTCTTTGCAAGGATGGCGGCGGATTCTTCATGCAGTGCCTGTCTAGCCTATTTGAGTCTATCTGGAAGAAGGAGACTGTCCCAGACACCTGGGGTACTCGCAGTGAATGTGATAATCACAGAGGTG